ATTTGAATGGTAATGATAATTTGGCTTGAATTTTTTCAGCCAATAAACTTTGAAATATAAGTAATACGTAAGTCGACGCAATTTAACTATAATTTTTCTATCAGTGTTGCTTGATTGATGACTACTGATTTTTCTACTTGATAAAGATCACCATTAGCAATCAAAACGTATCCCTTATGCGTTCTCAGAAATAGAAATATGAACGGAAATATTGCCTGAATCTTAAAAATACTAAATGACAGACATATTAATACAATAACTTAATTCTTTCTTTTATTTACCCAGTTTTTTCGATTTTGAATTTCTTTATGCAAAACGTTCCTCTAATGAAACAAACGGAATTATTTCGCTTACAAAATAGAAACGCAAAAGAATTGACAGAGCAGCAATTACTTTAAACCTGAAGAATTCAAAACTTCGAGAAGATAAGAGAATCCATTCCAGGTCGTATCTAAATTAGATCTTGCTACTGTCATGACATGTAAAATTAACTGAAAGAATTCTATGTCTTCACTCTTGCAGCAACTTTAATCTGCTGCCATGTCGAACTGAGAACAGATTTGATTCGAGGACAGGTCGCCATTATCAAACTATATCAATAGCAAGCATGTAGTTAACTTCAGTGCTAGCAACCCTATGATTTATGAGTTCAACATTACTTTCATTTTCACTTTCACTAAGGAACTGAAAGGAATTAAATACTAGAGTAGTATAAGGAACGAAATTTGATTTATTTCACCAATTCCAGAGCAGGAATTCGTATATTTGAATTATAGAGAAAAGAATAAATCAGTATTTGTTGATGTGCCTTGTGACTTCATTGATCATGGCTCTCCACAGCTTTACTATCATTTGTAGCTGTAGCAATTCCTGTCCTCATACTATCATTCTCAATCCCTGTTCTGGGATCCAATTACACAATGGACTGTTCACTGATTTCCTCTACCCATTCTGCCTTCAATACGACCTGTCAATGTCAAACCCTTCAGGCCTTCTTTATATGTAGGCCTCCGTCGGTCAGGGATGACTATGGGTAATATCCAGGTTGTCTGCTCGGCTGGAGCATCAACGTCTGTGACTATAGAGGCCGATGCGAGGGTGACAATCTCTGTTGCAGTGATCGCATGTATTTTTTGTCTCTGGTCTGTTGGAGCTGTCTCTTTGCTTTCTTCGGGCCCGCCTTTCCGGGACGATTTGTGTCAGCTTCTCCTCCCATGACTTGATGAGTTACAGAAATTTCAACTCTCTCTTTCTGGGTTCTAAATATAAGTGTCTTTGTAGTTGCCATTTTTCTTAAAACTTGCTTATTGCTCACATGTCCCGTTCATGGTATTCTTATCATCATTCTGCAGAAGCGTTTCTCTTTTGCCCTAAAGTCTCCAAAATTCACTGCCTTATAGGAGGATTGATATTCGTCGTGCGCTCCTGTGAGCATCCGAACATCGGTATCGTCTTCCTTTCTCTCTATTCCCTCTAGTGGAGCTGCCTGAGATGGCTTTAAAGGTCCAGACTACCCGTGAAGAGTCGTAAGCAGGGAGTCACAGAGGTGTGTGGCTGTTGAACGCGGCTGGGCGAGTAGAAAGCGAGGCCATTCGCGTGAATTTGATTTTGGTGGATTAACTTTGCGCGACGAAAAAGCCCACACACTAAAAGACCAAAATCGCCTCCATCGCAACTTAAAGGGTGTGAAACAGGTGTGATCTGGAAAATTTGGTTGCATCCAGTTGTCAGATGCTTGGTCTGTTAAGGTATGACAAGCCTTGGTCACGCCAGAACGACTGGTGCTGACCACCGGTTTAGTCGTTGTGATCGTATAGATCTTTGTCAATTCCGCCTTTGGGGTCTTCGTAGGTTGGTTACATTCAGTCTGGTCCCTCTTCAACCTTACCGCCATGGGTGGCCATACAAGAGTTGAAACACCAGACGGCTTCGATTTTGTTTTTACTGGGACACACAAGCCTTCTACCATGACAAGGAACGACTATATATTTTACACTCGATTCCTGAGTGAACAGTTTGTTATCAAATGTATCAATTTGACTTATTTTAGTGGCAATAAGAGAAACGAATCAATAAATAAGAAAAGCGTAAAAGTATAAAATTATCATTAAATATATAAGAACATTCTTTTTATTATTGTTGTCAAAAATATTTGAAAGATAAACAATAAAGGAAGAAATTCACTACTGAACCAATATTGAAAAAAATGAAAGAAGTAAACAAACGAAAATTTTCGACTTGAAACTTGATACTGCATCACATTTTATAGTTCTTTCTTTTTTACCTTTTTTCCCTGATACTTTGTTCTGCTTTTGAAACGTATCTTGATTTACTGACTTAATTTTGACGGATCTGGTTCGTCGCTCGCGTTTTGGGTTGCACCTTATACCGACAACCATACTTTCAGACTTCTAAAATTTATAATTAATCCTTTCTTCTCGCCTTTTTTTAATATCTTGCCTTGGAGTTTCTGCAATTTTCTTTCTGTATCAGGCATGTTTGTTTTTTCACTTCTGTTAAGTGCAGAAGACATCCGCTGGACATGCTTCTGAGCAATACTGAATATATTTCTTTTGTAAGAAATACAAAATTGTGGCACAAGGCCGAAGGGGAAGTGGGAAAAGGCTGGTCTTTCTCAAGTTATCCTATTCCTTGTTAACCACAGTCATGGCCCATTCATCCATAACAATTACACATTCACCACAAGAACTCATCCATCACCTCTCAATCCTGCACACACACCACAATACCACATATTCACAAGGGTCCTACAAAACATCCCATGGTGTAAAAATTTGTAATGTTTATATATATATATATATATATATATATATATATATATATATATATATATATTCCATGAAGCACAAAATGCTGGGGAGGAGATGAACCTAGACAAGAAACCCAAAATGTCAACTAAGGATAAAACAAAATCAAAACAATATTAGTAGGAACCGTCCACCCCTCAAAATAATAAGAGTGGCTGCTGTATTCTATCGATAGATAGAATCAAGAAGCACACTCACTAATGGAATGGGGAGAGAAAAATAAATGATGGAATGAGAAAATCAAAGGCTGACTCAGTCGAGATGAAAAAAGTGGACAAAAACAAATTGGGGAGATTGGGAATTTCGACATGGGTCATAACAAAAGAGAGAGCCGGAAACAACACTGATTCACATTAACTAGGAACACAAAATAGTGTCAAACGTAACCAGAAGGGTCAACAGAAAACCGCCCCGTTGCGTTAAGGGGACTTAAAAAAAGAAAATCATGGCTAGCCCCGTCCACACGAACCAGGCTTGCCTCAGTCACCCAACTTCCACTGAAATGTGTCGAGATCAGACACTTTCGATCAGATCTGATTTTCACCTTAATCTGATGCTTAAAGAAAACAATCAGATCCTGATACGAATAACGTTCATTTCGCAAAATTCCATCCTTTCGCGACATTCACACGACCATTCTTGCCACGGCTAGCAACGCAAAAAACACCATCCGTTTTACCCCGGAGAAAGGAGGCAACACATTATCACACGCATACGCGAGATCGATGAACACAAGTTGATCGGGAGCGATACGAGCCGTCAACCCGCCGACATAATCCTACAAAGGCGCACCTGAGGACAATGGCAGAAGGCGTGCGAAGCTGTTTCCTCTAAACCAAGGTCACACTGATAACAATCTGGCATATCTGCCTGGCCCTATCTGAAGAGTACGTCATTGAGAGGTAGCACGTTCCGAATCAATCGCCAGCGAAGCAAAAACTCAGGGTTGCTGAGATAATCCGCCGCTGGCGCCCAAGACCAAAAGGAGCGCAACTCTGATGCCGACAAGTCGAGCCGGCCACACAGGGGATCCTTATCGACCCCCTCCACTAATTCATGATGCAATAGTCTCCGACGCCAAGAAAGGTCACTGGACCGAGGACTGACCTTCAAGGCCAACCGACACTGACTGAGGAAACTCGACAAGCTTCCACGACTACGACGGCGCTTACCCCAGGATATGGGGGGGATGTAGGTAAGGCTAGGGAAGGCGTCCCTAACACTCGGCGCCAAAATTGAGCCCTCCATCAAAACGCGGCATAGGAAAGACAACCTTGAGGCATGGCGATGACTCGCCAGGTGTGGCATTCCTAGCCCCCATGGCACGGACGCTTGTAACAGGCTTCTTTACAGACCCAGTGTTTGTGACCACCCCACAAAAGACTGTTCAACAAACGCTCGATCGCCTTCATACGGGACCTGCAAAGAGGAAGTACAGCCAAGCGGTAAAGAATGAGGGGCAAGACGTAAGTGGTACACGCCTCAGCTTTAAGGTCAACACCCTTCGAAACCAAATCCGAACCGACGCTCCGACCTTTGCCTGTACTTCTGACCAATTCTTCTTCAGCCGGAGTCCGGGCCCGAACCACACTCCAAGGATGCGTTGGGTCCATCAGTCCAACTGAAGGGCCCCGGAAGAGCGACCGTCTTCCAGACACCTAACCGCAAGCCGGAAGATTTGTTACGGTTAAAATTGGTCCCTATCACCTTCTCGTACTGTTCAAGCGCCTTCTGTACCACCTTAATGCGGCACGACATGAAGATGGATACGTCTTCGGTGTACGCAGAAACCCTAGCTCGAGCGCTACCAGGGAAAACAGCGATTCCGCGTAGGGCTTACTGCACTCCCTGTCCCTCAGCCGGCTCCAACGCCAAAGCGTAAAGTAAGGGCGACAGTGGGCACCCCTGAGAAATGCAAAGAGTTTAACAAAAATAAATAAACTTAACAGTTCGTAAAAATATCCAAAATTCACTTAGGCGAACTTAGGTTGGACAAAGTCAAAAGTCGGACGTAACAACTTCTTATCCAAGACGAGAATAAAGAAAGCTTTACTCAACTGCGTACAAAGTGTTGAAAAGAATTTCTTAGCAATACTGAAAAAGCAAATGGCCGCCTCCTTGTACATTGTATTTATTCACTCCAAGGTCAGATAACTCCGTTTACATCTATACATGCCCCCCATCCCACCGTGACCACGGGATGAAGTAACGTGGTCATCTTTGGATGCGTCCGAGAATCCGTGCGATTTTTTGCGTATTCGTGGGAACAGACTCCTTGGCGCTTGTTTTCTGCGACATGAGGGTTGTCTTAACGGTGAGGGACCGACCGGCTGTATATACCCTCCCGTGTTGCATTCAGCCACACCTGCGATGTCGTCTGTTTCCATTTCTATTTCGTCGGGTTGGCTTGGTGTCGTGACATTGATATCCCGTTCAATATCCATCGGCTATTCTGAAGGTTCCTGTGGGGGGTTCTGGATTTGTAGACGGATTTGAGGTTCCCTGTGTGGCGTGAGGCGGGCCATCCACGGCCGGTTAGATTCTGCGGAGAAATCGACGGTTGCGTAGCGTTATACGATCGCTTCCATCTACTCGCACCTGGTACTGTCGGTTACCACGTGTCTCTATGACCCTCCCCGTCTTTGCCCATCGATGGGGGTATTTACCATCCTGGTTCTGGATCTGGACTGAGTCTCCGACTTGAAATTCCCGGAGTGGTTGTAGAACTGTTCGTTTCGCATGTACCTTTTAGCCATTGTCAAGTCCCTTAGTTCGCCTTCAACTGCTTCCGTGTTTGGTATTTATCCCTTATGACCGGAAGATGGTCTTTAATGATTCGGCCGTAGGGCATTACGGCCGTAGACATGTCAAGGTCCTGGACGGTAGTGTTGCAATGGATCAGCAATGCTCGAGCAGCTCGATCATGGCAAAGGCGTCCGCAATTGTCCGTATTGTCGACAAGTATTCGTCTTGCTGTTTTAACGGCTAACTCTGCGCGCCTTAGCTGAGGTAAAATGATTAAAAAAATTTCAGGTAATCATTTCATGCCAGTTTTACCTTGTCGGACCAAAAACTAAATATAAAATTGTTAAACAGAAGAGAATTGTGAACAACTGTTAATAGAATGTTCATAATAATCTTCTTGTACAGGCAAGGCGATAATGTCACTAAGACGCAAGGTGTCACTGAGAATGAAAGCGAATTAGAAGAATTAAAGTGAATAGAAAGGACAATAAAAGAATAGGGTTTAGGAAGACAAAAGATGGCGATTGGTTTTGCATTTAAATTTTTGAAGGTTGTAGATGGAAGGGAGGCAAAGAGCCGGAAGAGTGTTTCAAAGGCGAGAAGCGAGGGAATAGAATCTATTAGAATAGAACTTATGGTTACTGCTATTTCAACAATAAAACTATGAGATCTAGTTGCCAATCTAGTGTTACGCTTAAATCCATGCAGTCAAGACACTAACGAGGAGAACTGCCATGAAAATATTTATAGAAAAGACAGAGGTGAGAATGTTATTAAAGCAAAGATGTGTTAGAATTTTTGGGTAGTTTTTGTACCAGTGAGCTAGCCAAAATGAGCTGACTCATTTTATAGTCAACCAATAGAAGGGTTAACCAATCAGAAAGCTCAAAATATTCAATCCGACGTGCATAAAGGCAGCCATTTTGTTTTTTCTCCCAAAATATCTTCACCGCCAACCTCTGATATCGAAGACTTAAAGAATTAACAGCCGCTACTTTCTCCGAATCTTCACTGCTAACCTCTGATATTGAAGACATTACGGACTTCACTGGATTCCATATTCAGGGACTACGGCAAACATGGTCAACAAGATGCAGGACGGATAACATTACATATCTTTCTTTGGATTTTTTTCAGAATCTAAACAAGTATAGAATGCTCGCCAGAGCAGATATGATAGCAATATTCAATGCATGGACTTAAATGCGTAAAATGGATTCTGGCAAGTAAAAAATGTTTTGTGCGATATGGTGAACCAACTTTCCTAGCAACAGGCCTAGCAATTGATTCAATATAATTATTCGACTTCATGTCAGTGAAAAACAAAAAAGACGCAATGAGTTACTCTCCTGTAGTTTATCATCCGCCATGCTGATGAAAGACAAAAATGGTTTGCTGTTATGATTAAAAGATAGTTTCATTTTTAAGGCGTTAAAATTTAAAAGCCATTTCTTGTCCATGTTAACAACTGATGGGAGGTTATTTTCGATACCAGCTACCAGTTTTACTTTGTCAGGCCTAATAATGAATATAAAATTGTTAAAATGAAGTCAATTGTGAAAAACTGTCGATAGGTGAATTTTCATACTAGTCATTTTGTAGGCTGTTGTACGTTGTTCTTTCTTTTAGTCTTATATATATTAGAGAGTCACGACGGGGATTTCAAGGTAGGGGGCGCTATTCGAAGCCAGATAAAATTACAGGATTTCTATTATTTGATTTTGGATTTTAGATTCTCTACTCACACACATATACATCTGCGCACGCACTCAAACACACACATACACATATGCTCAGATACACGCGCTCAGACGCAGAGAATCTTTCATTTACAGTCATGTTCATATGCATTTCACCATAAGTTACTTATTTCCTGATGGCCCAAGAGACCTTGGCTCAAATCAGATAAATGCCGAAATTTCAAGTGCTAATTTTTAAGGCAGGTAAAACCTTCATAAATTGTAATATTGACACGGCACGGCCTTCCTAAAATCCATTCCTCTGCATATTTCTAAGATAAAATATATTAAATGGCTTATATTCAAAACTTGAAAAAAACCGAAAAAAATCAATAGTCAGCATGCGAATTAAAATGCTGTAATACGTAAAAGTTACTGATGACATGAAACTCAGCTTCAAAATGTTTATAAAAGATATCAAAATAAAAATTAATTCCAAAAAAAGAATTGAAGGACATTTTGGTTCATATGGCAAGAAAGGTGTCGATTTTAAAGATTTAGGATCACTCAAACCGAAAGGTAGATTTGCATGTTCCTACAAACTTTTCGGTGTTTTTTCCCGGTAGTTACGTGACAGTAATCTTTTAAATCTCCGATAACATCCTCGATATCTTCGTAGAATTCAGCACTGTTCTGGACATTCTCTGCTTTAAGATGAATCTCTAATTTAGCTTCAGATTATCCTCTTTTGTGGACGGTTCCAAGAGTACAAGTAAAAGCAAACGCTATGAACAAGCACCTCAATTTCATTTTCTGGAGCTTCTTCAATATTTTATTGCATTTTTACTTTCACTTTCACTTTTATTGTTGCTTTCATTTTATTTTTTTTAAATGTTTTCTATTTTTTCATTTTTACTTTTTAAATATAACTTTTGCTTTTCCTTTTATGCAGTTGTACGGTTTCACTTTCACTTTTACATTTGTGTTTGCTTTTAGCATTTGCGTTTTTCTTTTTACTGATACGTTCTCACTTTTATTTTGCTCTTAGAATTTTATTTTCGCTTTCACATTTTTACTATTTTCGCTTTCATTTTTGTAGTTTTAGTTTTGCGCTCTTTTTTTTTCTTTCTCACTTACTTTTATGTTTACTCTTAATTTAACATTTACTTTTGCGTTCTTACTCTTGCTTTCACTTTTGCCTTCTGACTGTTACTTTTACTTTACTCTTAATTTACATTTACTTTCACTTTCATTTCCACTTTTACTTTCAGTTTTGTGTTCTTACTGTTACATTGGCTTAAAAATTTACCTTTATTTTTACATTCTTACTTTTTATTTTATATTTACTCTAGCGTTTTTTGTTGTTGTTTTTTTTACTATTATTTTTGGGGGGGACTTTTGTTATTACTTTTATTTTTGCGTCTTCGCTTTTACTTTTACGTTTTTACTTTTACACCTATAGATTCTTACTATCAGTTTTATTTTTCATTTTTTTTTTTTTTTTTTTTTTTTTTTTTATACTTTTGCTATTTCTTCGGTCTTCAGCTAACAACTGGCAATTCCTTTTTGCCCTGTTAACAATTTTCAGAGTCTTTCATCACGCTTGGATAGCATGGACAGAGCGGATCTCAAAATCCAAAAGTATGTTCTTTGTTTTGTCGCGAACAACATCTGCCTAATAACATTTGTTTAAATGATTGAATCTAAGTCATTTTCACAGTTGTCAGCCAATGATTGTCCTTACTCTGCCGTGGCCATCTTTCTATTCCTTTGAGGCAACTTGCCAAATTCTTACTAATGGTGTAATTTACAGACTCGTTTATTTCTCACACAAACGCGACATTTGCAGTTGTTCCTGTATTTTGTTTATTCTGGTCCACAAGGATCTGAAATCACGTTGAGTTCTTTAGACCTTTCCTGCATAACCCTGTCAATTACCATACATCTTCTTTAGATTATATCTGGATTTCTTATTCTCTGTGAAAAATGTTCTTTCGCAAAACTTCTTTCATTGCGTTCATCGGTATTCCAACGTCGTTATCCTTTTTAACAACTGCGTTATGGTTTTATGCTTACGAGCCATTTGCTTGTTATTTGTAATATGCAGTAAATGGAAAGATGTTAATTAATATGAAAAATCTACGTTGAAAATCAGAGCAACAGAAACCAGTCCCCATCATGGATGAGAATCTCTTTCTCTGTCGCTCTCAATTGCTCTCTCACGCTTTCTCTCGTTTTCTCTTTCTCTCACTTTCTCTCTCTTTCTCCCTCTCTCACTTTCTCACATACATTTATAAAATAAAATGATCTGCATATTTAGATTTGATTAAAGATCCCCTCTCAGAATTATTTTAGATAGATAGATAGAATAGTACCAGATAGATAGATAGATATTAATAGAATAGACATAACAGATAGATAGATAGATAGATAGATAGATAGATAGATAGATAGATAGATAGATAGATAGATAGATTAATAGAATAAGATAAACATGAACAGAATGAGATAGATAGATAGATAGATAGATAGATAGATAGATAGATAGATAGATAGATAGATAGATAGATAGATAGATATTAATAGAATAAGATAGATCAAAATGAGATATGATAGATAGATAGATAGATAGATAGAAGATAGAACGTATGGGGAGAAGCGAAAGTTAAAGGTTTCGTCAACAGTTGCACTTTATTTTACTAAGTTCTATATGGTTTAAAAATTCATTGGTTTCTTAAAGTGCATGTTTATTGACCAACTATAAAAGAGATTTTTTTTAAATCACATGAAATGTAACTTATCGAGTATCTTGTTAAATTAATCTTTCCTAGAAAATGACATCGTCTGGTGTACAATATTGTAGCCATTTACATCTGATCGTATACGGCGTCTGGATGCCGTATACGATTCTAATCTGCGGGTCATGACCCTTCGTACGGCTGCTTCTTAATTTTCTCTTCTCCCCATGCTTTGAACTTCGCGTAGGCCATTCCGATTGGTTGATCTGAGTAAAAGCAACACAAACTCGGCAACCATCTCCTCTCCTTTCTTTCTAATATATATAATCGTATATACATATACAGTGACATGCATAAGTATTGGATACATGTTATTTTCTGTTATAACTCTAGTTTATGTTCGCCATTTTGCCTGATATTTGGTAAGTAATATCTCGTAAAGTTGTTTTAGTTGTATGTGGAAGGGAAATTAAAAACTCATGGTTGAATCCATTTTTTCTTTATCAAAGTTCAAAATTACCCTATGCAAAAGTATTGAATACATCAATTTCATATTTTGTTGCGTAGCCTCTGTTTTGTTTCACTGCTTCCAGTCGCTTTCTATAGTTGACCACAAGTTTTCCACACTTTACCCCATTCCTCCTTGCATAATTCCTCTAATTGCTTGATATTTTGTGGATTCCGCTTATGAACTTTAACCTTCAAAGTATTCCACAAATTCTCAATTGGATTCAAGTCAGGAGACTGAGTTGGCCAATTGAGAGTACTAATACCATTATTTTCAAACCATTCCTTTGTAAGTTTTGCGGTATGTTTGGGATCATTGTCGTGTTGAAGCACGAAATTCCGACCATGTTCTAAAGAAGTTGCAGATTTCTGAAGGTTCTTCTCTAGAATCTCCCTGTACATGCTACCATTCATTCTACCATGGATAACTTGTAACTCACCAGTACCCTTGGATGAAAAGCATCCCCGTATCATAATGGAAGCACCCCCAAACTTAACTGTGGGGATGGTATTGTGCTTGTTGAAGGCAGTGCCATTTTTTCGCCAAACACTTGTTGCTGTGTTCCTTCCGAATAGTTCAACTTTCGTTTCTTCCGACCAGATTACCTTTTCCCAAAACTGCATACCTTTCTTTTCATAAGTTTCGACAAACTTTAATCGGTCTTTGACATGTTTGGTTTTCAGTAAAGGCACTTTTCTTGGTGATTTTGAATGAAAGCCTGTATGATATAGAGCTCTGCTAATGGTATCCTTACTTACATTAATTCCAGCACCCTCAAGATCAGTTTTAATTTCAGAACGAGTAATGAAGGGTTTTTTTTTGCACATTTCTGCTGATCCACCTTGAAGTACTCTCATTTATTTTTCTCGGTCTTCCATTTCTTGGAGGGTTTGCCGTACCGTCGCCATACTTACACTTTCTGATGATATTTCCTACTGTACTTAGTGCTAGATTCATTTCTTTACTAATTTTTCGGTAACCTTGTCCTCCTTTGTGACGTTCAATGATTCTATCTCGCATATCTCTGAATAATTCTTTAGTTTTTGCCATTTTTAATCCTTGAATTGCAGAATGCACATCAAAGAGTCAGATGATTAGTATCACTATCTTGTAAACAATTGTGTGCTTCTCTGATTAGTCAGAGATAACATTCCAATACTATCGAAAATTTGAATATTTAAAGTCTTTTAAAATACAAAGTTTCGATTGGAAATTTGAAAAAAGTAGCATGTATCCAATATTTTGCATAGGGTAATTTTGAATTTTGATTAAAAAAAATGGATTCAACCATGAGTTTTTAATTTTCCTTCCACATACAACTAAAACAACTTTACGAGATATTACTTAACAATATCAGGCAAAATGGCGAACATAAACTAGAGTTATAACAGAAAATAAAATGTATCCAATACTTATGCGTGTCACTGTATATATTTATATATGTGTGTGTGTGTGTGTGTGTGTGTGTGTGTGAATGAGTCTATCTAGATAAGTAGAATGTTTAAATTTTTTTCATTTTTACATCGAATATTATCTATTTTAATTTTAATATTATAACGCTCTTACTTTCAGAAACATCTGTTGCCCTAATTCGTAGTTGACATCGATTTTAATTTTGTTTGCTCTCTCTGTATCTCGAACTTCTTTCTCTTCCATCATTATTTTATAAGCTTCTTTACTCTGTCGCTTCGACATCTTCAAATTGACATCCTAATCTCTAGATTAATCAAATTCTTCCTTTCATTTTTGTGTCTTCTGAAGCATCCGTTCCTTTACTTAACAATGCAGGCCATAAACCTGCCTTTTTAGCTTATCCACATGTTATCTTTAAGTATTAATATCAATCCATTTTCAAAATATCCATATCATCAAATGAAGTACATTTGTAAATCTTCCTTTTCCACCAGAAAAAAATACAAATATTAATCTTCTATTTGCACAGCTTTCTTAAAATTTCAGAAATTTATTTAGTAAAATCTCCCAATCGCGAGACACAAGCTCGTTCTTCGGTTAATATTGACTTTGTGTTCCATGCAATTGGGAAAAATCGAAGCGATTTAGCTTTGTTAGTCGATGATTTGAAGCGAGGATCTTAATAGTAAAACAAAGAAATCGAATATCGATCACCACAAATCTGTAGTATACGACACGTCAAAGCTTTTGTCTATTACCTTGTGCGTTTTTAAAAGTATAACATTCGAACTAAACTAAAAATTTATATTTTAAATTTTTAACGGATTTGTACCAATTTTTAGCAGTAAAGACGGAGAAAAAAACATATCCTTCAACTGATTTGATCGATAGGAAAATAAACGTGTGTCAAATTGTCGATTAGACAATATAGAACAGTTACAGTTAAAACAAACAAAAAAATAAATTAAATTGGAAGAATGGTTAGGGTTCGAGTTCATTTAAAAGCGAAATTTCCGAATCTTGATTTTTGGGGGTCGAGCTCAATCAAAACTTAAATTTCCTGATACGGCCTTTCAGAGTTCGAGTTTAATTATAATCGAAATTTCCGAATGCTAGGCATCCATTCGGATGCATAAAATCGAAATTTGACTGCTGAAATGTCTAGACGCGGTACTAAATGAATGCGAGGAGAGAACGAACTATCCTTGAATTATACGAAGACAATATATGGTCGTTAGCAAAAGGGGTAGCCCAAGATGCAACCTGCAAAATGGGGACGTCAGAATGAGATACAGAAATTGACGTCTTGATGAAGTGTTACAAAGGACAACGGAGAACGTGACAGAGTGAACTTCAACGGCTCATTATAAGAGCAAAAGATACCGTCCCAAAAACTACTGTACTGACTACTGTACTGATGCGGCATTCACCCTGGGCGGATTGAGCCGGCTTCTTCCTGTTATGAGAAGAAGATTCTTGGGATAAATTACAGAAGTAGGGTACCCAGGCCTACTCGGATAACGTTCTTGCTTGCCGCGGGGTTCCCACAGACGCAGAGACAGGAACGACCAGAAGCCGCCGGTTACCGATGCAGACGCTCCTTGGATTTTTCACCAGAGCCCTTGTTAGCCGGCGTGTGTGTCAGACCTGTCCGCCTTGGGTAGCCCTACCAGGAATGAAGTTCCAGCCGGCATAGCTCTGAGACTACCGTTTACACCCCCACACCGACTGTTCCCAAGCGGTCCCCCATCTAAGTACTGACCTGGCTCTACGATGCTTAACTTCGGTGATCGTACGAGAATAATAATAATAAGTTCGTTCTGTTTATTTTGGGGATTGCGTTAGCTTCTGTAAGTTCTGTTTCGGCTTTGTTGTTCCAAACAAATGGAGTTACGATGTAAACTTGTTTTTTTTTTATTCACTCCTTACCAAATAACAGAAACCACGTCATTGAGGTTTACCGACAGAAACTAAAATGGATAGCACACGTAACTCGAAGATAAAATAATGATATAACCAAAATGTTAACATTCCACACCGAATAAAAGTTTAGAAAGGAACCACCCCATCTATACTGGTGTTATGGAGTGATTTCACAGTGGAGGCTTGCATTGGTACTAAATCGGTCCTAAAATAGGTTCGACGTAGAAAACGTTAGGAACTTCATATAATAGGAATGACGCAGAGAAATCTAGTTGTAGTCGCTGATAGTTTAGTATTCGACTAACGGTCGTCCGGCATCGACTGACTGACCGACCCACTGAGCGATATTCAGTCACCCCCCACCTCACGACAAGGCCGGTTTAACATCATTTTTAAACCCGGCCGGTTTAACCTGGGACCTCGGCGTAGCCCGTGGCAGAGAGTTCAACCGGTCAGCCGACTTCTCAGACTGGATCAGACCGACCCACTGTGAGTATTTAGTCACCCCCCCCCACGAGGGCAAATATGGCCGGTTTAACGTTTAACCCGGCCAAATAAACAGGTTCAGGGTCGGTTTACCTCACCGAAAGACTCCGCCCTTCGGCGTAGTCTCGTTCGTTCCTCCCCCCGAAGGCAGAGAGTTCAACCGGTCAGCCGGGCGTCCGACTTCAGACTGAACTCAGACCGACTCACTGAGCGACGCCGTTACTCCTACTTATTATAGGTGGGAGAGTCTAATAGGTGTGTTCCACTATAACAACTGGAAAGAGCGATAACAGCTACTGGACTTGAGAAACCTGTTTTCCTAATAACATAAAAAAATCGCCAATATATAACACTTATTCATCCTATGAAGACGAATGTCCTTACAGATATATATATATATATATATATATATATATATATATATATATATATATATATATATATATATATCGCTTTTTTTAGGAGGATTTGAATAATCATAATTAATTCATCGAGTCTAGAACAATCCTCAACAGAATGCAATGAAGCACTGGACGATTGTTCTCGACCCTATTTTAATTATGATTATTCAAATCCTCCTAATTCAATATATATATATATATATATATATATATATATATATATATATATATATATGATTTACTGAAGACATTTTTTCAAATTTAGCCTGCTTATTGATATACCTAGTTATTTCACTTTTGTTATTTTTTCTTTCATATCAGTTTAACAAAATCTATTGAATGTATATATCTCTTGTATGGTTCTTTGTATTTTTTTTATCGCTTTTCATTCTATGCACGATACTTAAATGTAAGTGAAGTGCAAAAAACACGAGTATAATATGATAAAGCGATGATGAAATCACGTCATATCCTTGGCTGTAAGAAAAAAATTTCTGATCTTGCCTATCAAATAATGAAAATAAATCCTCTGAAAATAAATGGATTCTGAGTTGATCGGTGAAATAATTTTCATTATTTTATTTTGTATACAAGGCACGGAAGTTATCTTTCTAATTGAGTTAATAAAGATTTTAGGCCATTTTTATGCATTTGTCACCTTTAACTTACTGTTTTTTTCATTTTTTTTTCCTGTTTATTATAATTTTATCTGTCTTTCTTACTTCGCTCATTATTTTTATTATTTTTACTTTGTACCTTTCTTTCTTCCCTCTGTAATTTTCTCTTTTCTACTTTCTACCTTTCTTTCTCCCCTTTCTATTTTTCTACTTTCTTTCTTTCCTTCTTTCCTTTTATATTCCTCTTCAACTTTCTACCTCCCTTTACACTTTACTTTTGTACGTTCTACCTGTATTTATGTTATTTACTTTTCTACATTTCTGTCTTCGTTATTTTTCTCATTTCTTTCTCTCTTTTTTCTAAATTTTAATCTCTACTCTCTTTCTTTCATTGTCCTTTTTTCTCTTTAACCGTCTACCTCCTTTTTTCTCTTCAACCGTCTCCCTCCTTTTTTCTCCTCAACCGTCTACCTCCTTTTTTCTCCTCAACCGTCTACCTCCTTTTTTCTCTTCAACCGTCTACCTCCTTTTTTCTCTTCAACCGTCTACCTCCTTTTTTTCTCTTCAACCGTCTACCTCCTTTTTTCTCTTCAACCGTCTACCTCCTTTTTTCTCTTCAACCGTCTACCTCCTTTTTTCTCTTCAACCGTCTACCTCCTTTTTTCTCTTCAACCGTCTACCTCCTTTTTTCTCATCAACCGTCTACCTCCTTTTTTCTCTTCAACCGTCTACCTCCTTTTTTTCTCTTCAACCGTCTACCTCCTTTTTTTCTCTTCAACCGTCTACCTCCCTTCACAGTTTACTTCTGTACGTTCTACCTTTCTTTATGTTTTTCACTTTCTACCTTTCTTTCCTTCTTTTCTTTCTTTCTTTCTTTCTTTATTTATTTATTTATTTATTTATTTCGTTCCTCTTTATTTTTCTATTCTTTCTTTCTCTCTTTCTTTCTAAACGTTAATCTCTTCTACGCAATTTTGTTCTTACCCCTTTCTATTTTCTCTTTTATACTATTTTTCTTCCTTTAGTTTTTCTCTCCTTTTTTTTTATTTTCTCTTTTCTATTTTGTTTTTCTTTCTTTCTTAGTTTTCTCTTTTCTACTTTCCTTCTTTAACTGTCTTTCTAGTCTTTTCTTTTTTTTCCTTGTTCTGCTTATTTTTCTCTTGTTTACTTTCTTTCTCCTCTCATTATTTTTCTTTCTTTCTTTTTTATTTTTCGCCTTTTTATTATTTGTTTATTTTTTTCTTCCGTTTTTACTTTTACTCGTTTCTACTATTTCTTTCTTTCCACCCTTTCTTTCTATTCATCTTTCTTTCTTTTTTCTGTTACTTCCTTTTACTTTTCTTTTATGCTTTCTGTTCTACAGGGTGGTCTAAAAGTCTTGTTACTCCCTACCAAAAAGGTAATGAGAACAACAGAACAAGTAATAAAGTAATACAAAGCACATGTACTGGATTCAGTTTATTCACTTTCATTGACGCTTTCGCACATCGAAAATGTCTGTAAGTACACCATCATTTTTCGTGGCACAAAATGATGCGGCGCCATGTTCTGTGTGATATTTCACGAAGCTGCGCTTTGTTGATTGCTATGAACGGCAACAGATGGGTATTCTGGTATCATTCATGTGAAACTCTCTCCCCACGGATTATTGCCAAAGACGTTAGGTTTTGATTTCTGGGAGGCTAATCGACAAGTGCTGGAAATTGTTGCGATACTCACTTGATCCATCTATCCCGAAAAACTTTAGGTATTCCCTGACAGCGGTAGCATAGTGGTTTAGGGCAACATCTTCTTGAAATCAACATTCATTTAGATCAAATCTGGAGCTGTGGAACAAACCCCTCCCTTAACATGGCCAGGTAAGAGTGTTGGTTAACAGAGACCAAGAAGAAATAGGGTCCTATCAATATATGGCGGCCTAAATCTTTCATGTGGAGAGTTTTACTCCACTTCTTCATAATCGTACAGATTTTCTTTACTCCAGAAATGAATATTCCTAGACCATCCACTTCGCTAAATTGCAGATCTATTAAAGAATAACAGCTTTCCAGGTTTTGGGATTGTCGGAAATAAATTGTCGTCGACTTCCGCTTTGGCGGATTTCGCCCAGTTTTGACAAATAAGGATCGTTTCTCGGCCTTTGGCTGAGATTCGATCACGGCTACGACTAGTTTGGATTGGCTTCGGCCTGGACTAGCTAAGACAAGCCATGACCAGCGTTGACTAGGCTCTGACCAGCTTGGACATGCTAAGACCAGTTTTGGACCTTTTAGCCCTTTGAGTGGAAACACTCGGGTCTCCCACGTTAAACCGACCTTGTGTCACATCCTGACCCTGTGGGAGTCGGGTAAATACCTTGTCGGAAATAAATCAAGTAACCGTCCACATGTCTTTTGTCCTTGTCGTAATCGCTTAGTTCCTTGACGAATGATGATTTAAGCGATTTCAAATCAAGACCTTTTGTCATGTGTATTAAAAATGTGTTTTGGGGAATTCCTAACTCGGGAGACCATTTTCGTCGTGACTTCTCGGGTGATCGTAACACAGATGCTACCACCTCTGCACATGTGTCCCTTCGCGTTGAAGGTCGTCATGTCCTCAGTTTGTCCTTAATTGATCCGGTGAGAAACAGTTTATGTTCCCATCGCAGTATCGTCCTCTTCGGAGGAGATGGTTTGTCGCACATACTCCATGCTCTTGACCGAATGCACATGTTCTTTTGTCCATACATTTGCAAGCGGCCATTCTTCCAAACTACAGGAGATCGTGTCAGCCATCTGTAGGGTGACGAAACTTTCAAACCACCCTTTATATTCAAGTAAGCTTCGCATATTTTAATATTGTGTGCTATTCTTTTATATGTCCATGTTGTTCAAAAATTTTGTTACCTATTACTTCTTGGGTGATCGTAGCACAGATGCCCACGACTCTGCACATGTGTCCCTTCGCGTTCAGGGTCGTCTTGTCGTTGGTTTGTCCTTAATTGATCCGGTAAGAAACAGTTTATGTTCCCATCGCAGTATCGTCCTCTCCGGTAAAGCTGGTTTACTGAATTTTGCAGTGAAGTCATGTCGCATGCTCTTGCCAGAATGCACATGATCATGTGTCCATACACTCGCAAGCAGTCTCCCTTCGAAACTGTAGGATCTCGTTTCAGCAATCTGAAATAGAAAATTATATTATGTAGGGGGGACAAGACTTTCAGACCACTCATTAGAATCATTCATTTATTGTTTGTTTATTTGTCTTATCAATCCTTTCAATTGTATTCTATTTTTTTCCTTCTTTTTTCTTGTTTGTCCCCCTTAATTACTTTCCTTTGTCTCCCGTTTAGGTTTCATCTTTCTTAATTTCATTCTTTTTCGTTTCCTACA